AAACAGATTAGAAAGCTCCCAAACTAAATATTGCTGCAAGGTAGCGTGTTGTTAATGGCAAATGCCTTGCTAGACTGTCTCTGTTTGTGTCTCCATCCAACATTATCTCGTCCCCGACCAGCCATTCCTGAGGGAATAAAGGGAGAGAGAAGGGGAGGATGGGAGACGCTCCTGAGCATCTCCACGTCGGCAGGAGTCGCGACCCACGGCGTTAGATTTGGATGCTCCTCAAGTCCAGAAGAGCTCAGATGTGGATCCAGACGTGTGGAGACCCTTCTCCCTCCCTTTTGCAACGGGTTGACACCACCTAATCCAAACACACTGCCTGCTAAAGAGGCGGGATTTGCTTCTGAGCTCACCAGTCCAAGCCTGCCTTTAGCTGCTGTGTGTTGGAGGCATTTTCCTCTCCTGTGCTGCCCGTCGCTGGCGTGCAGCCACGTCTGGCGCGGCGGTGACGGGTATATGCCACGCTGGTGAGGTGTCCATCCGTCTCCTGCCACCAGATTTCTTCCTCTTGAGCCAAAGGCACTTGGATAGAAGAGGGGCAGATAAATCAGAGATCCCAAGCAGCCAGGCAGATCATCTGTTGCATTAAGCTACAGCTCAGGAAAGCTGAGCAGGAGCCATGGGACAACCTGGGTGGGTTTGACCCAAAAGCGTGGCTTCAGCTTTGCATCTTCCCACATCCTCTGTGCCTTCCCAGCTCGGGGTCTGGGCACCACAACCAGCTGCAGAGAAGGAAACCCACAGCTCCCTGTGAGCCGTAAGGTGCTGTGGCCGTGCTGCCTGTGGTGTGGCTCTTGTTTGTGCTGCCGGAGAAGCTCTGCCCCATCCTGGCTCGGCACGGCCGAGCGCTCTCACCAGCTGCTGACACGCTGCTGTTTCCTTTTGTTTGTCCAGCTTTTCAGGGATGGGTTAGTTCAGTCCTGCAAGCTCATCAGGAATTAAGCGTGCCTCCCACCCAAAGCACAAATACTTTTTCCCCTAATCAGGGCAACGTCTGGTGGTTGCCCCAGAAGCTCCTGCAGACACTGGTGATGCAAAGTGGGTCCTTCCCACAGCCAGTGCTCCCGGAGGGACATTTTGTACATTGGACTTTGCAGGAGTATTACAAGATACATGATTAAAGCCGACGAAACCTTACAGCTTCTTTATATCTTTCCTCTCCTCCCTCCTTTTTTCTCAAATCTTGCGGTGCCTGGTGGACTTTGGAGCTCGGTGATGTCTTAGGGCTTTTACGACGGGTGGATTTGGACTTTGTAAATGGGGAGAACAGTCAGAAAACCTGACCCGCGTGCATCTCCCGGGCTCGGCAACCAGCAGGCAAAGAAAGTAGCTCCACGTCTATCAGCTTTCTAATCTGTTGTACCTTACGGCAGCGCTGTGATTTATTGAAGCCTGGCTTATTATTTTTAAATGCCTTATTATCTCTGTTCTCATAAACAAAACATGTGAGTCGCTCTCCCTGTGCCGTGTTACCTTCATTTCTCCCTTGTGTTTTACAAAAGGTGGTGCAGGATGGGGGAGCGGAGACCTGGACTCTCGTCCCAGGCTGTTTCTCCGCTACGTGATGAGCGTTTGCCCCGGCCGGGAAGGGGCTGGGGGTGCAGCTGCTACGGGGGTGCAGGTGGGGAAGGGGATGGATGGCCCATCCTGAGGGCTGGCTCTCCTTAGGACTTTGTCTGTGTTTTGCCCGGGCTTGCGGTTGGTTTTAAACCCGACAGATTTAGGTCAAGCCTGGTCTTGTTCTGGTGGCGGCGGGGTAATAGCAGGGGAGGGAAGAAGCCAGTCCCTGCCCTGGTGGCAGCAGGGAGAGGGGACCCCAGGGGGGCCTCACCTTGCTGGGGGACACCTTGCCAGCCCCCGGTGAGCTGCTCCTCCCTGCGCCTCTTTCCCTGCTCACCCTCTCTGCTCAGCTTAACGTGCTTTGGGGAGCAAAGCGCGTGTTTAGAGGAGCGATGAGGGCTCGCAGCCAAGGGGGCAAGGGATTATCTGCACGGGACCCCCGCGGAGCCGCACGTCGGGTGCGTGTGCCCGTCCTGGTCTGTAAGAGGTGCCCAGCAGTGCCAAGCAGAGCAGCGTGAGCACCCCTGCGAGCAGGGCCCGGGGGGGAGGGGGGGCAGGCATTTAAAGGAGAAGGGGGAGCCGGGCAGCTGCGGGATGAGCCTGTGCCCCAGCGGCTGTGCCAGTGCCGGGGGTCTGTCTGTCCATCTCTCCCTGTGCCCTTAGTGGTGATGCCTCTTCCTTGGTTGCATTTTGCCAGGCTTGTTTGGGAGCTGCTGCGCTCGTGCATGCCCAGCGCGCGCCCGGCGCACGAGCATTTCCCTGTGCATTCCCACTGCATTTCCCTGTGGGTCGGAAGGTGCCTGGGGAGTGCCCAGGCAGTGCAGGCAGGGAGCCGTGGGGCAGGAGCCTGCAGGGTTTGCGCTGAGCCCACACGTGTCCGGCTGCCCCCAGCACTGCCCTGGGGTCAGGCTGCGACCACGAGGGCAGACACAGCCCTTCTCCATCTCGCTCCCAGGGGATGCCATGCACTTGGGGGTCAGCGCCATCCGTACGCTCCCCACGGACGTGCAACAACAGGGAAGCGCGGCTGTATAAGGCAGGGAAGGACCAGCTTACCCAAATTTCTTTCCTGTCTATTTTTGTCTCTCTTCTGGCCAGCTTGTTCCAGTGGGAGTTAATTTAATTGCCATCTTCCTCCCTGCATCGCTGTGGTTGTGTGTGAGACCTCTTGTTGCGCAGGGTAATTATATGGGTGAAGTGGACATGGCAAAAACGAGCCTTGTCTCGATAGTCGGCGGACCAGCACGCTCGCCATCCATACAGCCCAGTGCCGCTGCTTTCTCGCAGAGCTCAGAGTCTAAACAGACCGTTCTTGTCCTCAGCCCCTCGGGAACGGGCACGGAAGGGGAAGGGATGTGATGGAGGCAGCGCAGGGCGGCCATGGCAGAGGCAGGGATCAGCTGGAGCTCTCCCCGTGCACAGAGCAGCTGCCAGCCCTTCTCCCACTGCAGCACCTGATTTTCCAGGTCTTTTTCCCAGTGTAAATCACTCGCCGAGGAGGGGAGCGCTGACCTTGGGGGTGAGAGCAGAGCAGGGGATCTGGTGGTGATGGGGCTGCTCTGGGCAACCCCAAAGTCTTGGCTGTTGATTTTTAAGCCCTGAGCACACTCCGGGCATCTCATAGCAGAAACCGGAGCAGCTCCCCAGCTACGCCAATGCCCAGCGGCTCGGATCCCTTCCCGGGGACCATGCGGGAGCTGCACCCTCCGTGCTCTGCGCCGGGCGCCTCTGAGTCAGGGCGTCGTCCAGAGCTCTCCAACCATCGGGGGTTTTGTGTCTGGCTTTAACAGGCTTTAGATCAGGCACTGACTAAATGCTGCAAGTCTGACTCAGGCCAGTCCAGGTTGGGACATGACAGAGGACGTGGATGCAGCAACATGTAGTTATTATTCACCTGTACACCACACCTACACGCAAACACCTATAGGTAGATGACAGGCTGCTCTCTTCTCCTCTCTGGGCTTTCACAGGGGCATGGGAGTGAGTTTTCTCCTTTCTGGGACTCGCATACTCCCACTCCGCTTGGGATTTGGAGCCAACGTTGCTGTGCAAAATTCGGCTGGAGTTGCTGAATTTCCCTTGGTTGAGCCCCAAAATCACCCCGCCTGCGGGAGCGTCCCGCAGGAGAGCAGAGAGCTGCGAGCAGGGCTCTGCATCGGGATGAGCTTTCCTTCCCAGCAAATCCCCTGTCGCAGGAGCTCCGGTGCCCCAGGCTGAATCAGCATCCTGGGGAGAGTGGAGAGGATGGTCCTGTGGGGAAACTGAGGCAGATGGATGAGCATGTGGGGTGTAGCGGAGCTGGGAGCTGAGCGAGCATTGCTCCAGGCTGGTTGCAGCCCCTCTGCAGCATGTCCAGGCTTCTGCCAACCCTGGGGTGTGGATGAGGCCCTGCACCTCTCTTGTAGGGCCTCTTGTTATAGTCCCTATAATTATACGTGTGAGGTCTGCCTGCCTTCCTCCCCAGCTCCTGCTTGTAGGACCTCTTGTTATATTGAGTATAATGAAGTGTCCGAGGTCTTTTTCCCCCCACCCGCCCGTGCCTGCCTGCGTGTAGGACCTCTTGTTATAGCCAGGGAAATTATGGGTCTTTGGTCTCCCTCCCTTCGCCCAAGCTATAATTTAGTTTTATATAAAGTGCGGTCCAGCCCCTGTTGTGCAAGCGGTTGCTATTCCGGGTTCTGGGGAGAGGGATGGAGCGGCAAGGAGGGGGCTCGCGGTGGGCACTGCACTGAGCACCATGCACCCCGACACCGCGCAGCCCCCCAGACACCCCACCGTGGGGGGGACAGCCAGCCCCCCAGCCTGCAGTGCTGGCTCTGCGGAAGGTGGTTATGCCTTCTCCTTGCTGGGTTTCTGCAAGGGGGTGTGTGGCATTGGGGTTTATCCCCACGGGGGATAACACGGCTCTTATTTTGGGTTTTGCTTGCCCCATCGAGGGGGTCCCGCAGGGGCTGCTCCTGCCCCAGAGCAAGCAGGAACGCGAGGGGAGGTGGCAGCTGGCTCCCGCAGGGAAGACAGTGGCCCTTTCATGGGAAGGGGGGATGAAAAATCCAGCTTGGACCGCTGAGTGTAACCAGATCCCCTGGCTTTTTAGAGAAGGAATGCGGGACCTTGGGAAGGTGTTTGGGAGGGTGCTGCCGAACCGCTGGCGTTGCGGCGGGGTGAGCGGCTGCAGAGTGATGCAGCCCCGATGCCCATCCCCAGCAACCCAAAATCCCTCACAGTGCTCCAGCTCTCCCCCCCCCACTGGTACTCTGGGCTGCAAAAGCAACAGGGGCAGCTGGATTTGGCTCATGCCTGAAATCAGAGTCCCAAAGCACCGACCGGTGCTGTTTGCAGCAGCTGGGGACGTGCTGCGGGTTGCTGTGGGTTTGGGTCTGCCCGTGGCGTGGTGCACCCCGGGGTGCTCAGCTCCAACCCAGTTTCTCTTGCAGAGGCGGGCGAGACCTCGCACCCTTCGCCGAGGCAGACGCCAGCGGCACTGTCGGCAGAGCCCCGGCTGCCTGCCCGCCCCCCTGTCAGCCCCGCAGCGCCGAAGAAGGAGAAACCCCTGGAAGATGATGAGTCCCGAAAAGTCGTGACGAAGGGCCCCCGGGTCGAGCTTGCAGGCGCTCCCGAAGCTGTGACATGTGAGTGTTTCCCTCCGTGGCGGCACGTGCAGCTCCGGACACCTCCGGGTGCCCATGCTTTGGGCTGCTGCCATCTAATCAGTAACAGGGCTCATTAAAAAGGCGGGCAGCTGTGGTGGGAAGCCATCTCCTCCTCCCTCTGCTCTTCCCCACATCAAAGCAAATGGCTTTAACTGAGAGTGAGTCACCAGGAGCCGGGGAAAGTGAAGGGCGGCAACCAGCAGCACCGTGATGCCTCTCGCTGCCCTCGTCCTTGGGACCAGCTGGAGGCAGAGGGGGAGGAGGGTGGGTGGCTGGAGGAGCTCTCGGTCATCTTGGCGTCCTGCTGGGATGCCATGGTGGGAAGAGGGACCGGCCCCTGGGGGAAGGAGCTGGCTGCTGTATGGGAGCATCCCCCAAAGCCACAGTGGGAGAGAGGAGAGCCCCCGGCAGAACGGGCTCCGTGGTCACAGCCACAGGAGGGGAGTGCAACAGCCGTTTGCTGGAGCAAAGGGAGATGCCTCCCGTTGGGACAGCTCTTGCTTTGGCGTATCCAGGGCAAGGGTGAGGCTGGTGCAAAGGCCTGAACGAGCAGGGGACGGGACGGGCTGTCTGCACTGAGGATCTGGTTTTGCTGGAGGCAGTAGTGAAGCCAAGCAGCACCTCCCCATTTCTGCTGCTGCAGACCTGCCGGTCCCCCCCCCGTGAGAAATACCGGGGTGGGGGA